AATAAGGGAGGCTTAAATGGTCAGTTTTACTCTAACAGCTCTCAGAAAGAATATAAAATAGAGTTTGAATTTAGAGTTATGAGTCTTTACAGATGGGTTGTTCAGGTTCCAAGATAGGTTGTGTGTCTCTAGTGATTGCGAGTTGAAGAGAGATATCATGATGGAGACTCACAGTTCGAAGTTCACTATGTATCCAGGAAGAAGCACCAAGATGAACCAAAGCATACGACCCTAATTCTGATATAGCAGGATGAAAAAAAAATTACTGATTGCGTCTCCAAATGCCTTATAAGCCAACAAGTCAAAGTAGAGCATCAACACCCAGGCGGGTGACTTCAATTGTTGCCAATCCCAGGATGAAAATAAGAATATATCACCATAGACTTTATAACTGGATTACTTAAGATATGTTCGGGACATGATGCAATCTGGGTAATTGTTGATCGACTCACTAAGTTTTTCCATTTCTTGGCTATCAGAATAATAGATCCCTAGAACAAATTAGCTAGAATATATAATTGAAAAATAGTCAGATTGCATGGAGTCCCAGTGACAGTGATATTAGTTTGGGACCCTAGGTTCACCTCTAGGTTTTGGACAAGCATTCAATAAGGAATGTGAATGAAATTATCTCTTAGTACAACATTCTACCCCCATACAGATAGACAATCAGAACAAACTATTCGCACACTAAAGGATATACTCAAAGCTTGTGTTCTAGATTTCGAAGGGCACTGTGATGATCACCTACAATAATAGTTATCAGACAAATATTGGTATGACTTCGTATGAGGTATTGTATGGCCGACCCTGTAGGTCACTAATCTATTGGGAATAAGTGAGTGACAGGAAATTGATTGGTTCAGATCTTGTAAATGAGACCACAGTGAAGATTGCCAAAATTAGGAAAAATATTCAAAAGGCTCAGAATAGACAAAAAAGTTATACAGACATGTGAATGAGAGATTTGGAATTTGACAAAAGTGATCGAGTGTTTCTTAAGGTCACTCCCTTTAAGGGCATCACTAGGTTTGGAAAGAAGAGTAAGTTGAATCCCTGGTTCATCGGACCATTTAAAATTTTGGACTGGATTGGGATATCCGCTTATAAACTAATATTGCTTCCAGAACTATCCAAAGTCTATAACATCTTCCATATGTCAATACTGTGCAAATATAACTATGATCTCTCACATGTTTTGTCTTACAAGCTACTTTTACTTAAGGAGGATTTATCTTATGAAGAGGTATTAGTTATCATTTTGGACTGAAAGAGCAGAGTGCTTCGCAACAGAGAAATTCTCTTTATCAAAGTTCTATGACAAAATCACTTGTAGGACGAGGTCACTTAGGAGTTAGAATCAGACTTTAGGGTAAGGTATCCTCAATTGTTTGACTAGGGGATAATAATTTAAGGGACCAAATTTTCTTAAGAGGGTGAGAATTGTAACATCCCGAACCCAAAATTTAGACTCGGGATGACATAATTTAATTTTTAAATAATAACAAAAAGCGTTAATTTTAATTTTTTTAAGAAATATGGATTTTGGATAAATTTGAAAATAATTTTGGAAAGCAGGGTGAAACTATAAATAAAAGAAGAGTATATTTGAAAGAAAAGTTTGAAAACAGGGATTAAATCACAAAAAGGGAAAATGCAGCCACGTAGAACAGCCACATCAGCAACAGGGCGAGTCAAAATGTGTCGCGTGGCAGACATGCAAGCACAGGCTCCACACGGGAGCTATACGGGCGATCCGCATGCCTGGGCGATCCAATGGCCCATGTTCACTCTCGCACACAAGAACGGTTTGGATTGATTTCCCGGATAAGTGCGATCGAACTACCCACGCGTCTTAGATAGAATGGCCTAGATCTGTTTCCCTAATAAGCGCGATCGAATGACTGAGGAGGTTCTATGTGGACCCAGATGGACTACTCAGAGTAAGGGAAGGGGAGTATTTAAGTGCCTCTTCTAACAAAACCCTAACCCTAGCCGCACACCCACTCGCTAGAGAAGAAGAAAAAGGGCGGCCGGAGGAGAAGCCCAGCCACTGGCACCACTGCACCGGAGACTCAAAATGCACCAGTGAGTGCGAATTTTCCTCTCTTTCTTCCTGTTTCTCTGCTCTTTAACCACCTAACATGTTTTTAATGCAGATTAATTGAAAACAACCACAACCTGTAATGAAGGAACGATGGAGCTCGAGTAAGCCGCCGCACCAGAGACCAAAAAATGCTCTAGTAAGTTGTACCCTCTTCCCATTCATTTTGTTTTCTCTACCTTTCAGCCTTCTAACATGTTTTTGATGCAAGGTGACTGAAAAAGCCGCAAACTATGAGAGAGGGATAACGAATCCCAGCTAAGCCATCATGCCAGAAAAATCAAAACATCGGTAAGCTTTAATTTTTCCTCTTTTTTTTTGCTGATAGACACCTCTTAACCATGATTTAAATAGGTTTTTATCGAGAACTAGCTGAAAATGGCTTGATCAAGAGGAGGAGCCGCTGGATAAGAAGAACCCAGCAGTGGAGCACAGCAGCGCCACCATGCTGGAACCGCAACTCGACCCCCCGATGAGGTTTTTTGTCTTTTTAGCCGTTTCTTACATATTTTCACGTTTTTTATGTACATTTCAATCTTAGCTAGAAAATCCAAGAAATCCAAGAATCGAGAACTGCCAAGAATTGTAATAAAAAAGGTGGTGTTCTGGACAGCGACTCAGAGTAAGAATCCCTCACTCATTTTTTCTGTTACGGTTAAATTGAAGCTAAACTGATAATAAATAAAATTTTAATTAATCTACGGTCCTTTAATTGATTAAAGTACGTGTTGTCAATGGAGCAAGTAACCGATTAGTTTATGTCTGTTTTGAGTTTTTATTTGCTGTAGTTATTTCTTCAGTTGTTTATTATGCTTATTTACTCACTGTACTACTTACTTTAATGTATTTATTTTAATTCTCCAGTGAACATGATAAGATTTCTTAATATATATTGTCATGTCATCCTATTATGTGTATAATATATTTTTGTCAATATAATGTATGTTTATTTCACGTACGTACCCTAAAATGTAAATTCATTATTCATATATTTTTTGGGATACATATATACGTGTCTCTTAAGGCTAAATAGTAAATAAAAGAAAAGATATGTGTGAATTAATAGTGTTGGATAAGGGACTTACTGGATGTCTTAGAAAAGAGTGTACGAACTTGGTGCATAGGGTGAACCCTACCGTGGATATTACCCTTAATAAAACGGGACTGAGAAGTCCCATACCGGAAGGAGTTGCAAATTATTTTAATTATGCTCATATCGGATGGGGTATTGAGGCAATTATGTATTTTGGCCCCCATTACTGGATAGAATATGAGGATGGTCATTTGATTATAGAATAAATGTTTGTGTCTACGTAGTGGGGATCCCTACGAACCCTCCACTAGCACCGAAAGGTAAAATAAAAAAATAAAGATGAATATGGTAGGAATCCAATTTGAAAAATAGCGTAAATTTAATTGTTATATGTCTTTAAAATGTGCATTACATATTGTTATTCTGATATTTATCTTAATAAATGATATTTAAGAACTTATAGGTAAGTTGAGAAAATTAATATTTTCAGTGAAATGAATAATGAATACACTAGTGTTCGAATTTTATTAAAAATGAGCTCCATTTGTTGTTTTATATTTCCTACAACCCTTTAATTTTCTGTATCAGTGGTAAGACTTTGATATTCTTACTAAGTTAGTGTAACTCATCTTTTATTATTAACCATTTTAAATCAGGACAACCAAGACTCGAATCCTGAACAGTAAGAAAACTAGTTAGAAGATTGTCTTTCGTTTTTCCAGTTTCAAACAAATGTTCATCATATTTGTTTTCTTTATTACTTTTTTTATTTAAGTTTTTAAGGACATTCTCATAATTTTATTTGCCATTTTAAGTAAACTCTGCGAAAAATGTAAACTTAAACTCTAATTGTTTTCGCTAAATTACAAATTTCAGTTTTGTTTATTTTACTATTTTTGAATCATATGCTAAGAATCCCTAATAGAGGTTTTGGGCTTTTACAAAGTGGGTCACAAAGTATAATTCTAGAAGAATTTGTATATATTGCTAGCTTTTATTTATTTGGTTTTTATATATTCTTATTTCTAGTTTTTGAGGTTTCTTTTAGGAATCCATTTATGTTTCACTTAAAAAAATTATTATCACTTTTAGATAAATTTATTTCTTGCTTAAAAAAAAATTATGTAGAGTATAATTTAAGAATCAATTCACAAATTCAAGTAGGACAAAATTTTTAGCTTAAATTTTGTTGATAATTAATTTAATAAAATATTTCATTAATTTAATTTTTTTTAAGAATCAATTCACCAAAATATCTAAGAAATAATAAGAAAGTCAAAACTGTAGCATTTAAATACTGATTTGAATTTCAATCAATCATACCTGAAAATTCCTTTAAGAATATATTTGTAAATTGGTTAAGAACCGAATTGAATTAAAAGAAAAATAAAAAATAAAAACTGGAACCAAATTAGACAAAAATAGTGATAAGTATTTTAATATTTTAAATATGATTTTAATAATAAAATAATTTCCAAATTGATGTTAACGGATTTTTTTAATAATATAAAAATATTATCTCTCATCAAAATAGGCGGGGTAGTTGGGAAACTTCCTTAAGCTTATTTTCAAATTTATTATGAGCATTACCCACATAATGTAATATTTGAAATTGTCAAATTATCGATTTTACTGTTTTTCTTTCCCCAAACTTCTTTTAGAAATCAAACTAACTGAGCCACGCCCACAAAATTAAGGCCTAAAAAGTCATAGTTACGTCTCTTGCTGAAAAAGAAAAAAAAGACAATACCAACACACTGGTTAATCAAGATAGTTGTCTGGGCAACTGGAAGACAAAAAAAGTCTTGCCAGAATATGGAGATAATACTATACATATGTATTATATACGTGCAGGCAGCTTACCAAGAAAGTAATTCCAGTAGACAATACTGCCGACTGTACCCCAATCACCTTCATGTAAGTCACAGCCATGAACCTTGTCGGTGCTAACGTTGGAGATATGGTGAGTGAATATTTCATGGAACTTTTCAGCTGAAGCCTTAATCTCTACATGAGCTTCTAACTTACCATCCAGACTCATGTTTTTGATGTCTTCTAAAACAAATTAATTAAGAAACTGAATAATATAAAGTTTAGCTTTCTATTGTATCACTCCTCAACCATTTCACATCTATTTATAGTTTTTTTTAGGGCAGTTCATTTTTAAAGTCATGTTTATTTTTAATAATTATTTTTAAGCTGATCAAATCTCATTTCCAATACGTCTCTTTAAGTGCACCATTAATGCGGTGCATGAGGCATGAGATAATATATTAAAATCAACTAGAAATAATTAAATGAATTTTTATTAAAAAATAATATTTTTTATTATATTTTTTAAATCTTTAAGATAAAACAATAATATTTACAAAAAAATTCTCTTCAGTTATAGTCCTAAATACTTAAACAAGTCTTTTTTAAATGAATATTAACACTATTGGTACTAGAGCAAAAATAGTTTTTCATGGGGGGAAATACTGAGCTTTATTGACGGTAACCTTGCCGCTAAAAATATTACATAATCCGATGTGGGACTGCCGCTATTAATTCCATCAGGGTTAGGTCCAAAGCTGCAATTTCTTATCCGCCGCTAACATTCTTGGCTTTTCGGTTTCTGTCGCTAAATTTGCCACAAAAGGTCTGTCACATAATTTTAAAGGCTGTTTACCTGCAATCACAAATTATTGTTTCTAAAAATTAGTAAAATGTATTCTATTTCTATTCCTATTAATATGCAAATAAGTACCTTTAATATATTGAATCTGTGCTTTGAAAATAATATTTATATCCACTTATACATAAAAAGTATTATATTAACAAAAAATATTAATTCTATAGAACTTCTATATACACAAATTAATTCATATCAATTCATAATGTGATTTATCTTTTATTTTCATAATATCTTACAACATGCATGAACAAGTTAATTCCAATCAATTAATCATGCACGCTACAGCCGTCATCATTATTAATCTATTAATATATTATAAACAAGATATATCATTACTTTAAGTAAATATACCTAAACTAAAAGTATATATCCCACTAATAAATCAAAAAAATTATTTTTTGGAGGGACACTTCAACACATCCAACTTTAGAGTGAGAAAAACAATATTACTAACTAGAACAAAATATATGAATCCTTAGAGAGGAGAGATGGTGTAATATCCGATCCTCAATAGAAGGGTGTGTAAATAAGTAAATAAATTAAAGAATATCAATTTTATGAAAAAATAAAATAAATTAGAACTTAGGGTATAAATGAAAGAAATTTTAGAAATTAGGAGGTTTCTATAAAATTTTAAGAAGTTAAGTGAAAACATGTGGAAAAAAGGGGTCAAATGCATAATTAAATAAGAGTGGAAGGGGGCAAATAAAAATCAGAAAATGAAAGATCAAGATCGCACCGTCTGAGAGATCTGACAGCTTGAAATCACATCTAGTTGAACGACCCATATCTAATCTTGCAAGATCGGATGGCTAGGGAAACTAGTATTTAAAGGAACAAATTAGGATTTTTTCACTCAGCAAATGATAGCCGAAAATAAAAGAGGAAGAGAGATGAGTCGAGCCGGTGAGAGAGGAGGCTGAGCTGAGTGAGGGTCGGGTTAAGAGAGAGAAGAGAACACCGTGCGAGAGAGAGAGACGAGCAAGGAAACCAGAAGGAGAGAATGAAACACAACCAAAGAAGAAGGAGGAGGTGGCATGGAGATGGAAGGAAAGGAAATGGAACCGCGACTAGGAAACGTCGCGTTGCTAGCAGATTTCGAAGTCGTGTTGCACGCAACGCAGACGTTCATAAAACAGGTGAGTTTCATCCCTTTCCATTTCTCCAAGATTCCTTTTTCGCATTTCACTCTAACGGGTATGTAGGTGTGAAACCAAATCGCTCAACCGTCGCAGCAAGTGAGGAGTTCTCTCGGGGAACCAAAGAAACCATTCTTCGGAAGTTAAGAATCGAACCTGAGGCTATTTCGACTTTTCTGGGCACTGAACCCGAACCATGTGAATTTTTTTGTCCCTCTTTTAGCATGGGTTCTCGATGGAAATGGGTATTAACGTGTGTGTACAGGTTTTAGGAGCTAGAGTGTTCACGTCACCACGGTGAGCGTGAGGGTCTTATCGAAAAAATTAGAAATAACCTCGTGTTCGATTCCTAACTTTTGGAGAATGGTTTTCTTGGTATTGGTAATTGCTAAAGTAGCACGTTTGGGCGTTGATGCTTTGCCTTAACCTGCTGTTATACAAGGCACTTGGAGACGAAATCAAAAATTTCCCTTTTCATCCCACTCCACCAAAATCGGGGTCGTATGTTTTGATATATCTTAGTACTTCCAGGATGCAGTGTGAATTTTGAACTATGAGTCTCTATCATGATATCCGTTTTTACTTCATTGTCATTTGGAACACACACCCTGTCTTGGAATCTGAGCAACCTATCGACAGATACTCAAAATTATAAGTTTATGCCCTGTTCTATATCCTTTCTAAGAGCTGCTAGAGTGGAATCAATCAGTTGAGCTTCTTTTATTCTCTAAATCAGTTCGAGTTGAACAGCTAGATGAGCCAAGCATGTGGCCTTTTTCAAATCCTAAAGTTATATCTGTTGTGCAACTCTTATTATCTTGTATTTAGAAGTCATTATGTGAGCCAACATGCCTAAATTTTTCCAGCTGAATGTGTCGGCTACCACATTGCCCTTGCTTGAGTGATACAAGATTTTACAATCGTAGTCCTTGAGAAGCTCTATCCAACGCCTCTAATGCATGTTGAGATCCTTCTGGGTGAATATATGCTTCAAGCTCTTATGGTTTATATAAATCTCAAAAGTCTCTCCATACAAGTAGTGGTGTCAAGTCTTCAACGTGTGGATAATAGCAATAAGTTCCAAGTCATGACTGGGGTAATTTTTTTATGATTTTTCAATTACTTGGACCCATAGGCTATAACTTTTCTATGCTGCATCAGAATACAATCCAACCCTAGATAGGAGGCATCACTGTACACTGTGTATTCACTTGTCCCACTCGGCAGAGTTAAAACTGACGTGGTAGTCAATAACTTCTTAAGTTCTGTAAAGCTCATTTTACAGTCATTATTCTACTCAAACTTGATGTTCTTTTTCATAAGGTGGGTCAAAGGTGTGACTGTACTTGAAAACCCTTATACAAACCTATAGTAATAACCTACCCAAAAAAAAAGTTACAAATCTCCTTAACCGAAGTCAATTTCTCCCAATCCATTACTACCTCAACCTTCTCGAGATTCACTGACACCCCATCCTTTGATATTATGTACCCTGATGAAAGAGTCTGCTCAAGTCAAAACCTACATTTGCTCAGTTTTACATAAAGTTTCTTTTTCCTAAGAACTCGTAAAATCTGAGTCAGGTGTTGAGCGTGTTCCTCTCTACTCTTTGAATAGATTATGATATAATTGATAAACACTATCACGAACTAATTTAAGAACTGTCTGAAGACCCTATTCATTAAATCCATAAAAATTGTTGGTGCATTGGTTAACCTAAATGGCATGACCAAGAACTCATAATACCTATACCGGGTTCTGAAAACCGTCTTGGGGATGTCTTCTGTCTTTATTTTTACTTGATGGTAACCCGAACACAAGTCAATCTTGGAAAAAACTTGAGTACCCTGTAACTGATCGAAAAGATCATCGATCCTAGGAAGGAGGTAATTGTTCTTGATTGTGACCATGTTCAATCTCCTGTAGTAAATACACAACCTTAGAGACTTATCCCATTTTCTTGCAAACATGACTCCAGCACCCCAAGGAGATATACTATGTCAGATGAACCCACTATCCTATAATTCTTTGATCTATTTTCTTAATTCTTCTATCTCAACACGACTCATATGGTAAGAGACAACTGAAATGGGTTGGATGTCAGACTAAAGATCTATAGTAAATTCAACTTTTCTATCCACTGACAGTTTGGATACTTCATCAGAGAATACATCCAAAAATTTTCGGACCACAGGAATCTTTTGAATGCAAATTTCTTTTTTAGACTTACCTAATGTAGAAAAGAACAACTGAGTTAACACATCATATAAACAATGCAATTACCATGAGGGAATAATGTCTAAAAATTTTATTAATTTATGAAGGACTCTTCGTTAGAAATATTGAATACTAGTTTTTTATGAAAATAATTTACGGTAGCGTGATACAGCACTAACTAATTCATCCCTAAAATTACATCAAAATTCTCCGTATCTAATGCTATAAGGTCTACACTCAATTTTCTATATGTTATTTCTACGATATAGGTTTTGTATATGATGTTTCCTAGTAGTGTCCAATTCGCAAGAGTAGACATAAACAATACAAAATTAAGATTTTCAGGTAACACATTCAAATGTTTTGTAAAAAATGTGAAACAAAAGAATGTGAAGCACTAGTATCAACTAAAACATGTGCAAGGTGATTACAGATAGTATACGTACCCTGTATTATATTTGGGGTTAGCTTTAGCATCCTGCTGAGTAAGGGTGTAGGCTCTGCCCTAGATTAGAGGTCTGGTCTGATTTTGATTCCGCGAGCACTCTCTCGTGTAATGCTGGACACTTCCACATATGCGGCAGATATTATTAAGGTGATAGTATGTCTGTCTCCATGATCCTTACCACAGTGCTAGCAAGTTCTACCACGTCCTGCTGTCAGGACCTGAGAATGAGCTTAAGTTGCGGGCCTAGGTGTCTTGTTCTGCTGGATCAGTGCAATAGATGCTGGCCTACGGTTTGGAACCAGGGGTCTGGAATGCCCACTGTTGGAGAAAAGATATGAAAGTTCCTCTCTATCAGCTGTGTCTTGGCTAAAACTGCTGAGTAAGTGTTGAGCTCGAATACATACAGTTGTTGTTTGATCTCAGGACGGAGGCCCCACTCATACTTCCTTGCATTTCTGCCTTCGTCTATCATGCTCTCAGGAGAATATCGGCCAAACTCCAGGAATTTTTGGGTATACTCAGACATTGTCATCTCACCCTGGACCAGGTGTGCGAACTCCATCTCCTTCAAATGTCGAAGA